GCCTCTCTGCCAGTCCTCAGTGCCATGTTTCGTGGCATTGACTGAGAGGATGCAGTGGCGGGCACACAGTGCGGGGCACCACGACACTCCACAGGGGACCACCGTCCTCAGAGGAGACAGGAGCCCTGGCCAGTTCCTCCGAGTGCTTGTTGGGTGGCCATGTGACCGAATCCTAACCTGACCAGCCACTCGCCTGCAGGGACCTCGCCCCGATGAACCAGCGGCATCGGAGGGGCCCCTGAAGTGGCTGCGGCACAATGGCGAGCCTGACGCCTGGCATCCGAGAGTCCGTCCCACCCGGCTCACCGGAGCCGGCGAGTCTCTCGCTGTCTGTCAGCGCCTGCTGTGAGCCGAAAGCCTCCACTCGGGAGACGTGGGTGTGGAGGGGAGAGTGTGGCACCCCACCCTCCTCGAAGCTCTGACTCAAGAAGCTACTTAACGTCTGAGCCTCGTTTCCTCAACTGGGGACTGTGGGGTGACGACTCCTATCACCCACCGTGTTGTTAGTTCTGTTGTTTCATGAAGTGTCTCAAACAATGCCAGACCTACCGGGGCTCAATCCGTATTAAATGTTTCACTGGCCTGTTTCTTCTTACAATGAGGGACAGAAACTGCATCTCCTTCAAAAAAATCGCTCGTAATCTGGCACAGGCATAAGCACATTATAGAGGATCGATAACTGCTATTCAGGATGGTGATGACATCAGTCTTCCTTCCGCAGTGTTCAGTGTGCAAAATGGTCGCATACCTGAGCTCACTGGATTTTTAAAACAACCCTTTGGGCCTGACTGGCGTGGCTCCGTGGTTGAGCGTCGACCTATGAACCAGGAGGTCACGGTTCGATTGAGTCAGGGTACAGTATGCCCAGGTTGTGGGCTCGATCCCCAGTGTGGGGCGTGCAGGAGGCAGCCGATCCATGATTCTCGCTCATCATTGATGTTTCTCTCTCTCCTTCTCCCTTCCTGAGATCAATAAAAATATATTTTAAAAAAAATAATATCCATTTAAAATCGCTGAGATGTTACCCTCACTTTGTAGGTGGGAAACCAGTGACCAGGGTTAAGTCCCTCCCCGAACCTACATTTCACTGTAGCGATCCTTCGCCAGCTGGGTTTCCTTTGCTTGAAATCCGAGTGCTTTTGGACTCGCTTTTGCATGTTTCGAGTTACTCCTGTTGGTGACCACTGTTCAGAGAAAAGCTGGCAGACAGGAGGCAGGGACAAGTCCGGAGGATTCTGCGGCGGAGAGACAGGGAGGGGGGGCGGCCTTCCCACGTGGGCTGGCTTCCCGCAAAGGGCGGGACTGGTTGTGCCTGGTCTGGAACGCTCGCTCGTGGGCACGGGTACCGCTGGGATCCTCTGGAAGCGGGAGGCAGGTAAGCATCCTTCCGTCCTTTCACTAAAAGCTCCTCAAGGCGGCCCCAAGTCTCTGCTCCGGGGCCACGCAGTGGGATCAGCAGTGGAGACACTAACTCTGAGACTGGAAACCTATTTAAAAAATATATATTTTTTGTTGATTTCAGAGAGGAAGGGAGAGGGAGAGAGTTCATAGGTCGATGCTCAACCACTGAGCCAGGCTGGAGATCTGTTAACATGTAGCTGGGGAACCAGGGAAAGCACACAACAATGCTTCTTAGCACGTGTCCGAGCTTCTGAAGCAGAGCGAGCGTAAGGCGCCTCGCCGAACGCAGGGCTGTCCCGCACACTCTCCCGTGAGCCTGAGCTGCGGGTGGCGAGTGCAAATGAACCAGCCTCATCGACATAGACCCGTGCGGGAAATGCCGCCTATATCGTCTATCTCGGTCCTAAGGTCTCCTGTTTCTCAGCCTCCGAATCCCCCACCCAGCCCTCGGGTGCACATACACAACTGAATGGCGGCCCAGCGATCACGTTGTTGACCGGAGGCCAAGGACGTCGCACACGTATTGCCAGGCCCCAGGGGCGGTGTGTGCCTTGTGCTTTGGGAAGGACAGACTCTGCCTGGGGCCGAGGTGGGGTGGGGGGGGAGGGGACGGCGTTCGGGCCGGGTCACGGGAGAATATGGGCTCCTGAGAAGTGGGGGGCCATCTCCCACAGAGAGCACAGCAAGGCCAAGGCCCTGCGGTTGACACATCCCGGCTTGTTCAGGAGCCCCCTTGCCTGAGATCGAGGGAGCAGGGCAAGGAGGCGACAATCTAATGGACCCCTGCCCCCCGCCCGCCAAGCCATTGGCTGTAGGACTTGGGGCTCACAGTGTTAGCACATCTATTTGGGGAAACTACTGGTAGAGGAATGACAGTCTTAGAAAGGAGAGCACTCTTGCCGCCCACAGGAGCCACGTGCTGAGGGTGGAGCTGGGCAGTGTGGGCAGTGTCTGTCTACAGAGGACTGGAGCCGCCTGGGAGGTGAGTGATGGATGAGCTGCTGGGGTGACAGATAGGGAGGGGCTGGCGGGTGATTGGGCCACGGTGCTGTGATGAGAGGTTTGGGGTGGGGGTTTGGGGGGCGGGGATATACTCCAGCCATAGGTGCTAATGTTTCCTCCTTTGGAGTGAGTGGCACTGGGGTCCTTCCATTCCAGCCTGGCATGGCCGGGGCTGAGGTCTCCGAGGCTGGACACCGGTGGGCACCAGATGCTGGAGCGGGGCTGCCTGGCGCAGACCGGCTGCTCCTTGTCTGTGAAATGACTGAGACCACATCGTAGGGAAAAGGCGAGGCGTCCGCTGCTCAGCACGATGCTGACGTAAGCGCTGTGCGGGTATTTGGGGGGCCACACGTGATGCCCATTTAGCCCTTCAGTTTGAAAGCGCTCCAGTTTGACCCACCATCACCATTTGGAAGGCAGACAACTGAGTTCATGCATTAAGTTAGTTCCTTCACTGCCCAGCAGCAACTGAGGAGTAGGAAGCCTTTTGTAATTTCTCCCTTTTTATCGTCATCGCTGTCATCAAAGATATTCGTTGACCTTCGGTTGGATGGTGGCCCCCAGTCTCAAAGCCTTGCTGGAGTTGGGAAAACAGACACAAATGTAGGTCAGAGGTCCCTCAAGCCTGGGTGAGGAGGGCCCGGCACAGTGTTACTAGGGGAGCAGCCCCAACTCTGACGCAGGCCCCGGAGACACTGTGGGTAGATGGTGAGGCGGGACAGGGGTGGGTGGGGCACTGTCTTTGGCAGGACTGACAGCCCAGGGCAGTGGGAGGCGGCCCCGTCCCCTTTCCCGGGAGACTTTCATTCTGGTGTGAATTGCTAAGGGGGGAAGGTAAACAGAAGTAAACATGGTTTATAATGTTTCCTGAACCTCTGACATGGTCAAAAACATTTTTTTCTACTTTTCACCTTGAGAGTTTTAAAATTCAGAGACCACCTTTTTCATTGTAGGTAATGTTTACCTTAATCTGAATTACTGTGGATGGCAATGGTGACAAAAGGTTATTACATTTAAGTGATATTTTAACTTAAACATTCCTTTGGGGATATCTGGGAGTCACCCAGTTCAATACAACTGTCCACCCAACATGCACGAGTTGTTCCAGAAGCAAACAGTTTGCGGAGGGAGAGGGCTGTGCGGGCTGCAAGCCCAGGTCCCGAACCTCTAGTCCATAAAGGAACCCTTCCCGGCTCCTCACGCCCGCACACTGTGGGCAAGCCTGGCACTGGCATCGCTTTGCCCTAAACACTTCACAGGGCACAACACGGGCAACGGAAGCTGAGCTTCTTGGAAAACATTCTGTGAGGACTTCATGCTGCGCGGATTTACTCAGCTCTCAGGAACGCAGAAGCATCTAAACGGAGGAAGTCGGCTGCGACCCGGGACACACGCCCTTTCTGTGCCTGCGGAACACAGAGCAGCTCATACTCTCTGCAGCCACACTGGGCAAATGCTCAGGGTTCCTGAGACCCAGGAAGAGTGCTCCGCCTCCTCCTCTAAGCACAGCGTCCTTCTGTGGAAAGATGTGCAGGGCGGATTAATGCTGTTTTTTTCCCTTCTTCTTAGGTGGCTTTGTGCCAATGGAAGAAAAAAACACCCAAAGATAACACAGACCTGTAGACACCCCCAGCCCTGGGCTCGCCTCCTTTCTTTGGGCGTTAAAAGGCTCCCCTTCTGTGTGGCAATGACAGGCCTGCCACCCCCTCCGGTGAGATAAGGCGCCCTGTTAGCCATCATTACATCCCCGTAATCCTGCTGCCTGACCTGCTGGGCCAGGAGCCAGAGCTGGCAGGGAGAAGACAACACCCTGTGCATTTAAGTCTAACACAGACTCTCAAACTGCCTAAAGAAACCCGCTTTTTTATTTTTTTAAGGATTAAGAGGGGAAAAAAACCCACACACAAGAAAACTATGTTCAAAATGTATGAGATATCCCGGTAGATTAATGAGGCTTTGGGGCCAATGTTCTGTATTCTCATGGGAATAGACTCTCATTGTACATTCACTGATATAATTTTTTAATTAAAAAATTTAGAAGCTTTTGTTTTAACCTACTGTGCCTAAACCTTTAATTGCTACAGTTGTAGATAGATTTCTCTAGTTATATTAAATGAGAAAACGTAAAATATTCAGTACAAGACAGGTGTGTAATAACTGTTTCACGTGATGTTCGGATGATCCAAATTTGATGCTAAGCCCACTAAAACCATGACATTTAACTCGACTTCTGCACATACCTGCACATACCTGCTATATCTGCATGGCTCTGGGCTGAGACAAACCACTGAGAGACCTGAGACATGTAAAGACTCTCTTTCCCCCCAAGGATCTCTGCCTGTTTCCAGCCCCAGAAGCCTCTGGCTTTGCGCTCTTACAATAGTTACTGGGTCTGACCATGTGAAATCTCACCGCAGTGGGACAATTATGTTTCACTGCAGTGGCATGGAATTCAATTTAAAAAGATAAATGAAGGCCTAACCAATGGACACGGACAACAGGGGGGTGAGGGCATGAGCGGGGGGTAGGGGGTAACATGGGGATAAGGACACATATGTAATATCTTAATAAATAAAAAATAAATAAATAAAATAAAATAAAAAGATAAATGAGATTCATTCATAAGAGAGATTCCACCCAAGTCAGCAAAGATCGCAAGTCTAGTGGCGAGTGCGTCTGAGCCGCCCTGAAAGGACATGGCCGTCAGGTAGCGTGTCTCTGGAGCAGGTGTGAGGCTGGGCTTCCAGTCACGGTCTCTGTCTCGGGCTTTGTGTTACCTTTTTTCAAAAGGCGATCTTTTCATATCTCCTGCTCAGCCTGTCACACAGCTAGTGCTTTAAAAGGATTATTGATCCATTCAGGAAATCATTCCTTCAAACGCTACCAATTTCTCTTCCCAGTTTCCCACTTGCCTTTGACTGTAGTCACATGATCAATCTTGCCTTCTGCCTCTGGTTTTCAGGCTTAGAAAGTCCTTCACTGTCCCAAGATCACCAAAGCCTTCGGACTTGTTTTCTCCTAATACTTATAAAGGATAAGAATGTTGTGACCTTTGATCCACCTGGGATTTCCTTTGGGACATAGAGAGTAAGGAAGATCTAGCTTAAAAAGCAAATTTAGCTCTCAAATACAATGAGTAGAAATATCTGGATACCATTTATGTAACATTGCTTTTTAATTTAAAAAATATTTTTAATTAAAAAAATAAACTCAAAGCTCATTTATATACACTTCATAAGCACAATCGACACATAGATGTACTATAGGTATGCATATCTATGTATGGATATATAGGCCAAAAAAATTCTATTTTCCACACTTCTCTGGAATGTTACATTACAATCTGACATTATTGTCACTATTAAAATATTTTCCCTAGGAAGTTTCTATTTTATTTTTCTCATTTTCTCACTTTCCTGGATCTTGAAGATTTCGTTTTTGCTGCACTGTATTTTGTTTTAAAAAGTCTCTTTTCAATTAAGCTCACTTCTTCGTGGAGGGAGTAGGTCTTTATTCTTAGCAGGAAGGAGAAGAGATTGATTATAAACTGGTAAGTCAGTGAGAAGTTGGATTCTTCATAGGTTGTCACATGTTTACAGTAGCTGGAAGGAAGCAAAGGAAGATGTTATCTTTCCATGGCCACCTGGAAAGCATGCCTCTACCCCCTGAACGACTCCCAAAGAACTGAACAAGTAGGTATGTTTAGGCTTAAAACAGTCATCTGAGTTGAAAGGAAACTTAGAACAATTTGGTAGAACTCCTTAATTTTACAAAGGGAAGAACTGTGGCCCTGCCCATGGCCTCATGCCAGGGACACAGGCGGTACTGGAGCCAGCTCTTCCAGCTCCTGGTCAGGGCTCTGCCACTCCTTCCCAGGATCCCCCACTTCTTACCAGGATCAAGGTAAACAAAGCAGAAGGAAGAGATTCTGGACCCATTTTTAAAACAAACAAAAGAAAGCAAATACTCCCCCATTCCCACCCAAACTAAGGCACAGACTTGATGAGGTAGCCTCCAGTCCTGTGCGTTATCACAGGAAGCGTCTACACAGCAACTCCACTTATTCCAAAGTAGCAGATCCTGCATCTAATAAAACCTCTACCTACCACCAAATCTCTCATTCAAATCGCAGTCTCTAACTCTGTCCCGAGGCGGGCAATCCGGGGACGCGGGACCGTGACACCATCTATATGGTGCGGGAAGTTGTGCAGAACTCATGACTGTATTACTCAGCCAGTAAAACGCAAGGGGACAGAGGAGATAAAGGAGGAATTTACCAACTAAACCCCTTAAGGGATATCTCAGCCACATGCAACCTATGGATCTCATTTGGATTCTGGGTTATTTAAAAAAGTACACGACAATCGGGAAAATCTAAAAGTGACTGCATGTTTGATAATATGAAGGAATTATTATTAGTTTATTTTATGTCTGGTCATGGTACTATGGCTTTGCTTTAAAAATATATATTTTGCCCTAACCGGTTTGGCTCAGTGGATAGAGCGTCGGCCTACGGACTGAAGGGTCCCAGGTTCGATTCCGGTCAAGGGCATGTACCTTGGCTGCGGGCACATCCCAGTAGGGGGTGTGCAGGAGGCAGCTGATCGATGTTTCTCACTCATCGATGTTTCTAACTCTCTATCCCTCTCCCTTCCTCCCTGTAAAAATCATCAATAAAATATATTTTAAAAAATATATATATATATATATATATATGGGAACACAAATACATCCAACTTATGGATTGTGAACATTTTTTTCCTTTTAATTAAATTTATTGAGGTAACATTGGCTAATTACATTATATAGGATTCAGCTTTACAATTCTATGATACATCATCTGTATATTGCATTGTGTCCCCATCATCCAAAGTCAAATCTTTTGTCACCATATATTTGATTTCTTTTGTCCTCTACAAGATTGTGAACATTTTTTTAATGTTATAAAATACTAGAGGCCTGGTGCATGAAATTCGTGCACGGGTAGGGTCCCTAGGCCTGGCCTGCGATCAGGGCCGATCTTCCCCTGCTGCCCGCCAACATCGGTCGCCCTCTGTGTGTGGGGTGACCGGCAGGCAATCGGGCCCGCTCACTCACATCCACCTTGGCCTGGCGCTGACCGCGTCCACTGCCACCCACCCCCAGTTTCCCATACCCTATCGGGCGATCAG